AGCTGCAAAGCCCTACTCAGGTGCCAGCGGCCGCACCGCAGCAGCACGCCGTGCTGTCCCAGGCGCAGCCCCTAGCCTGTGCCGGCATGGGGATCGGCCTGCTGCAACAGCAGCCGTCTGGCACTGCCGAGTCCGACGGAGAGGGGCCGCCCAGGGTGGACTTCGTTGACAACACAATAAAAAGCCTCGACGAGAAATTGCGCAATTTGCTTTACCAGGAATACGTTCCTACTTCTTCTGCATCAGCAGGGACTCCAGACACCTCTGTCCCATTAGAACAGGGCGACAGCGAATTGAGCTTGCCGCCTTTTCCCGAAGATTACGTTCCCGCGTTGGCGTTGGATTTGAGAGAACCTGGCCGTAACGTAGCAGACACCGGGCAGGAGGTGAAAGCTGCTGCCGAGGCCCGGTCGGTGCCACTCGTACCGTCGGAGATGTCCCCCTACCCAGCACCGGTTAGTCCAGCAATGGCTCTGCCCCTTATAGCCCCAAATCCAGCTGTCAGGGAGGGCACCAGAGCAGAGCTCAGACCCAGCAAGCCTGTGGCAGGACACGTATAGAGCTCTTGCTTCTCAAACGTTTTACATTTTTGCTCCCGGGTTCTGTTCCCTGCTTTCCAGTGTGAAAGTTCTCTTAAATTCTTACTTTGTCAGGTGCATTCTGACTCATTTTACATCCATGCTTGTTAGTCAAAGCCAGATTTTTCCTTTGGGTTTAAAAGTGGTATAATATCTTAACTTGTTCTCCTCCGCTTGTATCCTGTTTCTAAAGGAGGCAGAAATGTGATAATTGTTTTGTAGTTTAAGAATGTAAAACACACGAGGGGTATAGTCATTCAAGTTCTGATGAAGACAGTCATGCTTCCATAGGAATTTTTTTTAAATTAATGGCAGTGATTATAATGCCTGCCTTCCAAGTCAGTCTGAATAAAATAAACACTTCTGGAGCCTTTGCTAAGCTCCATAGGTAGAAGCTTGTTCCGATTCCAGTAATGATTTCTTTTGTCTTCCCCTGAACTTGGCAGAGCGAGACTTCCCTGGGAAGCGTCTAAGGAAAGCTGGAGCAGGTGCTCTGGGACATTATTTACACAGTGTCTCGACTGTGCACCTGCATTGCGTTCTTTCCAATCAAATCCTGAGTTTATGAAATTCAACAGATTTGCAGCGCTTTCTGCTAGAAGATCAGTGTATATCTTACATGAAAAGTAGCATTTCTGGAGATAATTACATCAGCACAGGCAAGGATGAGGCTGTCCTGTGTAGAGTCAGCTGCATGAACTGTATCAACTGCTGGAAAGATGGGAAAGACGGCTGCACTTGAGTAACTCTTTAGAGCTTATTGTTTATAATGATAAATGACTTTCTGCAGCAGATAAAATTCTCTCTCCATGAAAGATGTTATGTCTCTCCAGTAATTTGAATTTGTCCTATTAAAATCTGCACCAATAAGAAAAGAGAGACATAGAATCTCTGCAGACAGACATACAGATGAAGAATGTATAGTCTGGCTGGAAAAGCAAACCAGAACAAACCCCCAAACTGATATATATATATTTTTTTTTTTTTTCAGTGCCTGGTTTTTAGTAACTGAGGCTGCAGTTCCCTCTGTGACGCTGCCACTGCTTTTTTATTTTTTCTTCCAAGGGAAAAAAAAAAAATGGAGGAGTTGAAGGAAAAGCTAGAAGGCACCTCCGCAGATGCTATAAAATAGTTTAATGTTCCGCAATAGTGAGAGGGAAGGAGAACGCATTGCCTTTCTGCTTTGTGCATGAGACTGAAATTCTTTTTCTTTTTCCCCAAAGTTCGAGAAGTTGGAGGTCACCGGTGTCAGTGCTCATTCCTCGGAAGCAGGAGGTGGGTCAGCAGGCAGAAAAGGTAATGTTCCTGGCAGTGATGCATCCGTAGCACGTGGTCCTCTTCTCCAGTGTCCCCTGGCTGCTCACCCTTCTGGTTACCTGCAGAGCACTGCCCAGCACCGGCCATTTCTCATCGCTTTTGTAACGTAACTAATAGAAAACATCTCGCTTCTGTCAAGCTTCCTAGAAAGAAACTGCCTCACAGGCGGATTTATTTTAAACCATAAATATGTAATACATGTCTGTGGCGTAGGTATAGGGCATTCGCATGGAAGGCTACGTTCCCAATAATAAATTTCCAGTGCCCTTAAAAAGTCCAAACACAAAGTCCCTTGGATTTCCTGGGGCAAATAAAAAAACGTGTGAGTAAAAATAACATGGTTGAGGGTGGCCACTCTGGGGGGAAGCCTGTAAGATTTTCAAGGGAGTCCCGCAGAGAGCTAATAAAGAATACTCTTCTTTAGGTACTTGTAGATAAAACGGCACTTTCTATAATAATGTAGTAGGAGCCATAGTAACAAACCAGGTGTTTATCATGCTCCATTTACCTGTCTTGCAAGTTGTCCTGGTTCTGGCAAGGATAGAGTTAATTTGTCCTGGCTCCTTGGGAAATTAACTCTATCCTTGCCAGAACCAGGACACAAGTCAAGGGAAGTTTTAAGGGCTGAGGAACCCAAAACTCCTCCTGCTGTCATGGGTAGGGTTGGGAGGGCTTATAATATATATATTTTTTTGAGATCGTCATGGCAAAGCTGGCTGCGAGGTTTGTGCAACCACGTAGATCGTTCTTGTCGTGGTGGACGCAGATCGTCTGCTGGTTTTAGGTCAGCATGAGGGGAAAACTCTGGGTAGCCTGCGTTCGTCTGTCTGGCGACGGACAAAGAAGAGAGTATGCAAGTGGAATGTAGCACTGCGTAGTAAAATTAATGTATCTTGGATACCATCAGGCAGTGATGTATTTCACCATGTCAGAACTATGAAGTGACAGATTTTGGCCTTCTGTTCGCTCTCTGTGATGTGCCATAAGAAAGCAGCTTTCTGAAAAGCTTGCAGTTTTTGGTTTAACTTCAGAACAGGTCTCCAGGTTGCAAAATAATCACGTCTTGATTACTGCCGCTAGTATTTTGCTCCTTGCCTCCTTCTGGGGTCCGAGTGGCCATCCTGTGAGAATTCCCACTTTCACCAATGTGCGTTTAACTTCATTTCAGGCACTTTTCATTGTTGGTGTCAGTACGTGTCAAATGAAAGGCGTGACTTACCGCTCCGTCTGCAGTCAACTGCAGCGTTTTGTACGCATGCATGGCCGAGGGCAGTTACTTTTTCAAGACATCAAGAACACCTTAGGAATGCAGGCCCAATGTACCATGCAGATTTCATTCTTCTTCCTGTTTTCTCCTTAAAAATTTTCAACTGACTAATGAAATTCCACACTCCTATTATTATTTCCCAAATAAATTCCCCAAATCAACAGATTGAAGAGAGTGCCTACCTGTGGATATTTTATATCCTCATCAGTATTGCCTCCTGCATTATAGATCCTGTATTACAAAGATTGGGTATTTAAATTACTCTTCAGTGCTACACTTTATCACACTTCAGTTTATCGCAATAAACACGTTGGCTTTCATTAACTACAGCATTCCAGACATGAATATATTTTTTTTTTCCAACTTGTAAAACAGGTTCAGCTGCAAGCATCACTTCAGCTCCTGCTGCTACAACAAAAGGCCTCCTTCAGGTAACCGGAAACTAGGAGCAGTTTTAGGCTTGATTGTTACAGTGACTTTTAAAATTAATCTCCGTTATTTTCTCCAGGTTGCACCTACATCACCAAGCATAACTAAACAGATGGAAACTTCTAAAAGGAGCGAGAAGGCAAAGACTGTGACTTCGTCTGCACACACGGATAATGTAACACAGATATCTACAGCAGATGGGGTGATAAATAACCTTCAAAGGGATGACTCTCTAGACTCTGGTTCCTATGGAAAACAGGCTGAAGCTCATGATAGCGGCACACCAGCCAAAACTATTGGCAGGTTTTCAGTAATCAGCACGCAAGACGAATTAACTTTAACAGCACCACACTGCTTAAGGTTCTCTGCACCCCCAGACGTCTATTTGGATGAGCTGCCTTCCAGCCCTGATCTGAAGACAGCTGTCCGACGGGTGCAGACGGCATCTTCTGTCGATGTCCTCTGCGACCAGGGTTCGAGCGATTCTGCTGATGAGCCTTTCCATCGGCAGTCGGCTGCGGCTGCCCAACTGTCCCCCCCGAGCAGTAGCGCAGCCACTGACTTAATTAAAAAAGCAGCTGCTTTCCTGCAAAGATCTGGCAAGACTAGCTCGCTGGGCCTTGAGTCACCTAATGGGCAAGGAGCTAAAATTCCTACCATCAACATAACGTCTTTCCACTCGCAGTCATCCTACATGAGCAGCGACAACGACTCGGAATTTGAAGACGCAGATATGAAGAAAGAATTGCAGAACCTGAGAGAAAAGTACGTCAGGTTTGCAAACAATGCTAGGAAAGCTTGTGTTAACGTACCTAGGCAGCACCTAGGTATGAGCAAATATGTGGTTTCCGTGGCTGTAACGAGTAAACTGGTTCTGGGCAAATTAGGCATAGCTAGGACCTTCCCCTAAATGCCATACTGCACCCTTTTACACATCACTTCCTTTGTCAATGCCATTTAGAAGAATAATTCAATAATAATTTCTTTAAACCCCAAAACATTTCTGCTGCGATGTCATTTCCTCACTGAAAAGCTATGTTGATATGGTAGCAAACAATAGTGCTTGCGATGTACATGATTGTAGGTTCCCATGTGGACGCTATTTAAGGCAGCATAAAAATAGTCTGGATGCCTGTGTAGACGGCTGCCGCGGTGCCTCTTCGTGCCCTTCTCTGCGAGGGTGATTTAGATGATCAGGTCTACAGACCCTTCGCTATTCCCAGACTCCCTTCTACAGCAGATAACCCAGTATCTGTTAGGCAGGTGAGACCCTCGCTTCGCCTCCCATCGCATCTCCCGTCAAGGCATCGGTCCAGTCTTGGCGGGAGGCTGGGTGAGCCTCGCAAGAGTCTGTCCTGCTGCCGGTCCTGAGAGCTCGTGTCTTTAAATGTGAACGTTTGCCGCCTTTCCTGGCAGGTGATGGGTAAAAACTAGCATTAGATGCTAGTGTAACCAAAATGTTAAGCTTTATCTTAAGGCATACTGGTTTTACTGAATACAGATGATGCATCTTTTTGAAACTAGAGTAGAACTTTTTTAGAACTACAGTAATATAAACCCTTTAAACTGACTTTGAAATCTGCATTATAAATAAGGTAATGATTCATGGGCTAATGGCATTTTTATGGGAAGCACTTTTGGTTTTCTTCATGTCGAACTCCTTCAAACTGATGTACGTGCCTTGAAAGTCAATTTTTTTGAAGCCACTGGTTTGAAGAGAGAAATTCTGGAATAGTTTGGGGTTTCCGTCAGATTTCATATCAAAATCAGTTTTTTTTACTGAGGATTTTGAAAATCTTTTTAGCTGTCTAGGATATTTGAGAAGTCAGTCACCACATTTGCCAGGTAGATTGTTATAACTTCACATACTTTTGGATGAGCAGTTGGTTGTTTTATAGTTGAGGACTGTTTTGTTTCTTTTCTTATAACTAATTATGCTGTCAAGATGTGGTGCTTTATCAAATACGTTGCTAGCAGAGTTCTTTATTTTTTTATGTTTAGGCATATGAAAGAAATTGCTGAACTTCAGACTCAGCAGAAAAATGAGATAGAGGCACTGTATATTCGGTTAGGAAAACCCCTTCCTCCCAACCTGGGGTTCCTTCACTCAGCCCCACCAAGCGGCCGTCGCCGAAGAACCAGCAAAAATAAATTGAAAGGTGGAAAACTATTAAACCCTCTGGTCCAGCAGCTCAGGAGTGGAACATCAAGCACAAGTAGGTACACTAGGTTGCTTTCCATACGCCTGTTGTTTGTGTCAGTTGTGGTTCTGCGGTGTAATTGCTCGGACTGCGGGAAAGGCACTGAATTTTTATTGTTTTTAATGCTATGAGTCAAGTTTGCATGCTACAAACTGTTTTTGAAGTGAGCTTCCTTTGGGACAGGGTTATTACAGCTGCCCAGTGCTGAACTGTACATACCTTCTCTGCATCAGTTACAGTGCTTGGCAGAGGAACAATATTCCACTTTAATTTGGAATACAGCCTGGTGACATTTCTCATCCTTTCCCCAAATGCAATTTATTGATGTTTGTGTTCACTTCTTAGGTGCTATTACCCTCTATTGATTATGTGCTGTGTCTTGTTGCTGTTGTTTATTTTTTCCTACAAGACACCATATAAATAAGATTGGATTGCATTTGCTCCCCCAAAGGATGGGAGGTAAAAACAGTTATAAAACTGAGGGATGCTTTGCTCCTGAAGTAGTTTGAGAGTTTTCAAACAGTAGCGCAGTCTTAGAATCATAAAATTATAGAATTGTTTCGGTTGGAAAAGACCTTTAAGATCATCGAGTCCAACCATTAACCTAGCTCTGCCAAGCCCACCACCAAACTGTGTCCCCAAGCACCACGTCTACATGTGTTTTAAATCCTTCCAGGGGTGGTGACTCCACCACTTCCCTGGGCAGCCTGTTCCAGTGGTTGATAACCCTTTTGGTGAAGAAATTTTCCCTAATCTCCAATCTAAACCTCCCCTGGCACAACTTGAGGCCATTTCCTCTTGTCCTATTGCTTGTTACTTGGGAGAAGAGACTGACACCCACAAGTCTTGAGTCATTATCTGTTTGAAAAAGTATGAAGATATAATTCAACTGGGAAAGGTTGATATACTCCAGCACCTATTTCTTCAGCAAAACGTAGAATAGAATATGGATAATTTTTCTTCAAATTAGTTCATGCCGTTATTTAGAGGAGCAGCAGCACTTCCGGCATTAACCCTTTGTTTCAAGCCTGGTAGCTCTTGTTTTCAGAGTCATTGCATCATAGGTCTGCTTCGAATTTCATTGCATTGATCTTAATTATAGACAGAGTGTTTTGGAGGTTTTTGCTTTTAATTAAGGATTTCAACTGAGATAGGAAAAGTAAAGATATTCAGAGGCAAGATGTTCTGCGATCCATCTTGAATCTCAGAATTCTTGCCTCCAGGAACTGAAGCAACGTTCAATGCTTTACACCCCCTTGGCTGACACCCAGGGTTTTTACTTCCTTTCCTTGCGATGAGATACTCCATGTCTGTCGTCCTTGGTCCATTCATTTTCCGGTTTGTTCTGGGGTTCTCTCTAGCCATTTTGCCCTCTGTCTATTCACGAAACCCCCATCCATCTCCACTCGTGCATCTTGGCTCGTATCAGTGTGCTACCCTAATCCAAAGAATGTAAGCTTATTTCTGCATAGAATGTCCCAAGTCTTTTTTTTTTTTTTTTTTTGTCCTTGTCACCCTCAGGGAACAGAAATCTGCTCAGACTGCTACTTTGGTGCTTTCCTTCGTGCATTTCTTCTGTGGTTTTTTCCAGTTTTTTGAGGCACTGCGTAAAGTTCCCATTATCTTTGAGAATCTGTATTCACTCCTGAGTTTTCTCATCCCTGACTGTGTAGATTCCTCATTTTTTGGCCTTCCTAGGTCCTCTCTCAGGGATCAAGGGCAGGCGGTTTCTAATATGGTAACTGACTTAATTGTCATTTACACTGTCAGATGCTTTTGCTGATAAATCTATGTAAGAAATGATTGCAAAGGTGTTCTGGTGGTGAAGCCTCTTTACCTGAGATATCCATGAGGACAGATACATAGATACAGATTTATATATATACAGACATGTATCTATCTACATATAGATAGCTATAAATAAAAAGTTCCTCATGTCTCTGCAGCAGCTTCTTATTTCTCTCCATTTGCTTGCTTTCACCTTTCGTGTTTGAGAGCAAACCTCCACGTTCTGCTCAGTCGTTCTGCACGTTCATCCTCCCACTCAGGCACTTGCGCAGCTCTCGCCTTGTTTCAGCAGCGCTCTTTGCGAGGTCCCAACTCCGGCCTATCTGAAAAATGCAAAAAACCCTCCTGTAAAAATCAAACCTGCTCCATAAGCTTCTTGGAGAAAGCGGCTCAGTGATAGCACGCGTAGATTATTTTCCGGTGCAGGCTATCCGTAAAGTCTGTGCTTCAGAATGGTAAACTGCTGTTCCTCCTGGTGGCAAGGCGTTATTTTTAGGCAGGGGGTTTTATTCAGTGCTTTCCTAGTATTGGCCATTGCATGTATTTTGTTTGTTTGCTCTTCCAGGTAATCTTTCAGACTCTAAAGACTCACCCCACAAAGAAACCACTAAAACTCAGCCTGGCTCTCCGGAAGCAGCAGCAGTCACTTCCCCGGCACCGGCCGCCTTTGGGAAGGCTGTTCAGACACAGCAGCCCTGCTCCGTCAAAGCCTCTTTGTCTTCTGACATCTGCTCCGGCTTAGGCCCCGAAGGAGGTGACGTGAACGCGAGCTCTGGCCAAGGTGATTTTTTTCATACCAGCTGTTCGGCTTGTCTTCCAGCACATGCTAAAATTAGTTCGCTTCCCTTATGCTTGAACTTTTTAGGAGTGGATTTCACTTCTAGTGATATAGGCACATGAACCTTTGGCAATCCAAATTACTGGCTTATCTTTAAAAAGATCGTTGCAGTATTGTCAGAAGAACAAAAGTAAAGTATCTTACCGAGTGTTAAGAGTCAGTGCTCAAGAAGGCACGCTCATTTCTAGGAAGGAAATATCTTTTATTTTTGCCAGCAGTGGCTTTATGCTTTTCTGGAGTCTGCCTTACAGATTTCTGAGAAAAAAGAAAGGAAAACAAAACAGGAAATAGAAGGATAGGAGATTGTTTCCTTTGGTTCATTTTGGGCTTTTTTTTTTTTAGCCCCTTGATACTGGTAGACCCAGAGTTCCTCATTATAAACGACCAAACTCTCTTGGGTGTGAGGGGGGGGAGAAAAAAGAAAGAAAAAAAAAAAAAGAAAACCAAAACCAGAGAACAGGTTATGTTTCCTTTATCGAAGGGGTTAACTTTGTGCATGATTTTGGAGTCCCAGCTAAATGAGTGTAGATTGGCTGTGTTCCCCCGTCCCGACCTCTGATACTCCCGTGTATTGCACACCTCCGTAGGCTTTGACTGATCTTGCTGCCATGCATATTGGAAGTTATAACGATGATTAAAATACCTTCCTCTCATTGCACATCCTGCCAAACTAATCTACAAAATATCTATCTGTTCTCTTCTGCTGTTATTGCATCCTTTGTGTATGGTCAATTAACTTACTCCTCTTTGGCAAAGTTAAAATGGAGATGTGGATGTTTAACTAACAAAGCTGATTTGACTGATGGTATAGGACATCTGATCACAGCTACTTGTACTTTATAAGTGTCTTTGTTTTCTTCCCTTTATATTCATTTGCAGGCTGGACGGTTTTCCACCAAACGTCTGAGAGAGTGACCTATAAATCTAGTAGCAAACCTCGTACCAGATTCCTCAGTGGACCTGTGTCTTTGTCCATCTGTTTGTATTTGTTCTTTTGTATTTTATCACAGTCCATCTTTCTTTTACCCCCTTTTTCCAATTCCATGTTTTATATCTCTAATATGTTTGGCAGGATGCCCCTTTTTCTGAACCATCTTTTCTTTCTTTTTATCTTTCTTTTAAGTAATCATCATGAACACACCTTATTTATATTAATTTTCCATATGAAAGCTTTTTTTGCACTGCTTTTGGCTCGTGCCTGGGCACCAAAAGCATGTGTGGAAGATCTCATCATTTATTATATAGCCTTATGGTAAATTTTACCCTGGACTTATCAAAGCTTTTGTACTTTATGTGATTTATGTTGAAGCAATTTTATTTGCAATGTGGCAAATATACATGTCTGCTGTCCCAGTTCCAGCGACAACAAAAAGAAATCCATCCTTCTGTAGACGAATGGTCTCTTTCACACATGTTTGGACTATGAAGACATGCATGTAGCAAGCTGATACAATACTAGAAGGTCACTGAAGGGTATAACTTCCATACAAGGGCTGTATTAACACGATATACAGTACTGTTTATATCCACTCTATTTTCTTTAATTTTTTTTCCCCCGCTCTTTGCATGTGGAAATGCTGAGACAATAGTGCTCCAGCTAGTTCGTTCAAAATCTGTTTTCTAGGTGGGCTTTTTCCCCGTGCATTCACTTTAATTACTTTAAGTGAGCAATTTTTTATATACTCATAAGCAGCAGGAAGATCTGGTTACTCCGAGGGAGAGTACCGTCAACTTTTTTTTGTGTAAGCTGATCTGGCTGAAGCACTTTCCTCAGTTTATTTTCTTATGACCTTATGTGACCTCAGAGATGAAGTCAATTAGCAGTTCATCAAAGCATAGATAAGTAAAAAGCAATATCAGATTTTCAGATGATACTTTGAAATGGATTGCTAGGATCCAGTATTTTTTGTTTCAAATAATTGTGCACCTGCTATTTGTACCCTATTTGTATGATTTCTAAAGTAATTGGCGATTCAACCAAATGATATCAAGCTATTTAATTAAAAAATTAAGACCTTTTTACCCAATCATATATGCTGCTTTTTAGGCAAACAGATTTTGCTTGTACAATAAAGATATGTTGTGCTGAACAGGTACTATAGGCCACTTACATATAACATTAGAAAGGCTAATAATGTTCTTGAGAAAATGTTTGGTTAACTAACTGTTCATTTGCATTAATATCAGATCTCCCATTGGGGTTCTACATTGCTCATCATTATCCAAGTGGTACAGATCAAAGGCACAAGACCACTCAAATACACTCCTCCTAATTTTACAAATAAAAAATATTTTCAAAAATAATCTTGATTTTTTTTGTTTGAGGTCCCTACAAGTCCAAGCACTCAGGTTCTTGAGAACTGATGTTTACTGCTGGGCATACTGAATTTATTATCATGCAAGTTTTTAATGACTATTGAAGTCATGAGACAATTTTGCATTCAGGGATTTTTTTTTTTCTGAGAATCGGAGGGGAATTCTGAGTTCACAAATTTTCCCATTTGGTGTTTTAACGGACATGGTAGTTTTTTCCTCTGCACATGTAATTTCCCAGAAGTCGTTTCATTAATCTTTTGCAGAATTACTTATTCAGTAGGATGCAAAAAGACTGGGAGATGGCAATTAAAACCCAGTGTATTAAAAACGTTTGGGTGCATGGATATTGTGAATGAAACCAAGGGAATATGTAAATCCTTCAAATCATGAAGTTTCCCGATGCTTAAATAACTCGGCATGACTAATTGCTCTCTGTTCTCAGCCCATATGCTCTCTTCTCGGTTCCTTCTGGGTGAGGTGCTGGGAGAGGAGGTTTGCACTCCCCCATCTCCGAGTCGCACGAGGAGATGGACGCAGTTCCAGGCACTTCACCCGACACGTCCATCCGCTCGCAAATACTGCCTGTCCCTTGAGTTCTAGGCCCTTTTCCACAGCTGAAGGACTGGTAGGTTTTGGGGGGGTTAGGAGGTTGTTTTCGCTCGAGCCCAGCAGGTTGGTAGGGTGCGTGAGGGAAGGGGTGAGGACGGGGCTGCGTGCGGCCCCGTCGTTCCCCGAGGGCAGCCGGGACGTGTGGCTGGTGGTCCATC